TGAGTCAAAACTGGACTATGCTATAATAATTTATTGGGGCTAAATGGGATAAGCAGTTGAGTTGTAGTATTATTACTTACAAAGGGAGATATTTCACCTCTAAATTTCATTTCTGCTATTTAAATTATAAAATTGAAATATCAAAATAACTTAGCTTTGTATGTTCTCTCTCTCTTTTTTTAAAACTTTCCCTCAAAGGTTAATTCCAATCTACATGCATCCTAAAGACCTGTATCTGAACAAATTATTTCACAGTATGCAGCCTACTTGTTAACCCCAACTTTGGAAATCCCAGAAGAAAATTATTTTTAAAAATAAAATTATATTAAAAAAAAAACAATAGTTTAAATCCTGACTAATCTCCCTAAAGTGAACTGACTGGAAATCCCATTGATTTTAATGGGTCTATTCTTCATATGACCAACCTGGTCACACAATCCTTCAAAATGACATTTATTCGCTAATAAAGTCAATGCAGGATGTATGCCCTTTTTTGCAGGGATCTTTGAATGCTGTCTTTTGACAGGCTGTCCAATCCATGTCTATTTTAAGGAAACAGAATCGTAAGGGAAAAAATGGGCATGGAAGCTGCACCTGTACAATCAATCAAAAGGAAAATGCATAGGTCACCTGCAGTCTCTATCACAATGTACTGCATTTCTATTTCAATTTTAGTAATTATGTGTGTATTTATATGTATAAATAGCATGTAAAATTGGTATGCAAACTATGTCACCTTTTTGACATCGTTTCCTTTTTTGCAATGATGCTTAAGTACCCACCCTCTGCAGCAAATGTACAATAGGCAATTCAGACTCCTTCAAGATAAAATGCCCTTAAGTAGTAACTTAAGCAAAGGATTGCACCCCATTTGAATGGTTCAGACTATAGGATCTGGTTGATCTATTCCACATACATTCCTTTTATGCACAAACACAGGCATAGGTCAACTATTATAAAAACATTTAAAATTATTTTATAGGAATGTTTTCTGTTGACTAATTTCTGTGAGTTTGTGTAAGTGGGAATATATATAGTTAAATTACATTTTTACATACAGAGATCCAGTATTAATGATGCAATGTACTAGGAAGCCCATTTTACACACTGTGTCTGGTGGAGCATTCCCAGATAATTATGCAAAGACTGTGTGTCTGGAGATGAGTAAGGAATCTTTCTGAAATCACTCATCCTGGTCTTGAAATGCAAGCTTTAAAAGTCACCATTTTCTATAAAATGCTTTAGGATTCTTACAGTACCACAACCTGACAGAGTTCCCATTTGTTCCTGCCAAATTTGATCATAACTGTTATAACTATTTGATGTTTTTCTCCTGTCACACAGTAAAAAAAAAAAAAAAAAAAGGGGGGAGAATCTGCTGACCAAACCAAGCTGTAGACAGGTTAGAAAGCAACTTTTTATTTGAATATGAAGGGAATCTTCATATTCCCTTCCTAGAAGGGGAAAGTGGGCACATAGAAGTCAACTGATAAAAGTGCGGGAGCAGGACCAGCTTGCAGAATGGAGATGGGCTACATACAGTCCATGAGCTGCCTGTGCCTTTCTTCATATGGTCTCATGAAGTCTAGTGATCGGCCTCATGGAAAAAAGAGAAGCCACAAAGCTTTTCCACCTTCAGCATGTAGCTCAGCACTGCTGCATTCATTAAAATAATCTCTCCAAGCAATACTCAGTATCAGGATCACAATTCCCCATCCACTACTATACCTTCATCTGAAAATTTCAGATTAAGCAGGGGATGGCTTTTATTCTTTATTTCCACAATAGGATCACATCACATTCTAGGTTTTTTTCTTGCTCTCTCTTCATCTTTCTGTCTTAAGAAAGGTTTGTCTAGGACTAATAGGATCAAATAACATTCACTTTTATCTTCAAAAGTTCAAACTCCATTTACACTGGCAGCTCCATATTGGGCTGATGATGGCAAGGAGAAGTCAAGCAAAGAGCAAATCATCTTTTTCTATGTTCCAGAATGGTAACCCTGTTATTCTGTTGCAGCAAAGACAACAAAGAGCCTTACAACACCATAAAGAATAACACATTTATTATTGTATAAGTTTTTATGGGCTAGAAAGTTGATGGAATGAACTCCAATTGGTAAAAGCATATGCCATAAAAATGTGTGGGCCTTTATCATGACATAGAATTGTTTTTCTTCCCTTTTGATAGTGCATGCTTAGGGCAAACAGCCATTTATCATGATCAACTCCTGACTTGAGCAACATTGGGACAGCAGATTAACAAAGGGTAATAATAGAACTACTACAGGGGAAGATATAACTCCTAGGAAAAAATTGTCATTGTGTCTTCTTGAAAGTTCCTCTATTTTTCTACCTTATTCTTCGTTGCTTTCAAACTTATTAAAGTATAATTTGAGCCTAATTTATAATTGCAATGTGACTGATGGTTCAGGCGGTGCTTTTTATTGTTGTATCACTCTCCACATTCAGAAGCCACCCTGGCTATCCATGCTTCCTAATCTGAAAAAGTCCCATGGAAAGAGTCTAATTCAGGTATAAGTCAGGGAAGCTGCAGAGGTTACAGACTGCTACAGAAAAAAATTGTACAGCGAAATTCAAAATACACAGATCCGTCATACTGAGTTACACATAAGAATGCTACAACCCACCAATAAAGAATTTCAGTGAATTTTTTTCTCTTTTGGACAAGTGAGATTCTCATCTTTATTATTTTATTTATCCATTTATTTATCCACATATTGCATTCTTATTAAATCTGCACCCACATAAATATGTAAAACCCATAAAATTCAAGGCAGATGGTCAAAATGCAGAAGAAATTACCTAGAATATTCTTGACATCTCTCCTAAATATCAGGGAACTTATAATACCTTATTATCTTGACCTGCCATATGGGCTGGAAGAAGGGACTCTATTTATACCAGCACCCTTAGTGTAGACTTCCTCAGATGGCTGGACACAGGGATATGGTTGATGGACCAATGGACTGACCTAATATACTTGTTCTTACCACAATTACTCTTTGCTGATACTGGAATTTATAGCAACAGCTGTACTATGAACAGTAAGCCTATCCATAAGAACATCTGTGGAGGGGGGGCATGGCTGTAAAGTATCAGTGTCAGCCCTATCCTAGAACTGATTTAGACTTTTTTTCCTAAACAGGAACAATGTCAAAAATAGGACGGCTTGGTTTAGTACACCATTCGCCAGTTTCATGCCTTCAATATATAGTTCTACAACTCCTATGGCCCTCAGCCAACATCACCATACTGAATTCATAGTGTGTCTCTACAGCTCAAATTCAGGCTATAATCCTATAAAAGTTGGCTGAAACATTCATGGAGTTGCAGTCCTATCACATCTGGAGGGCACTGGACTGAGAAAGGCTAGTTTGGATGGTCTTTCCATTTTAAATGTCTGTCCTCAAGATCATATATTGTTCTCAGCAGACAAAAAAAGAACACAAGAAAAAGAATCACATAGGTGGCCTGCCAACTCCCTGTGGTTGTAGGATACATCTGGCAAAATGCCCCACATAAGGGCTGCCTCTTCTTCATTTCACCAGCAGGCAAAGACTGGTTTCCCCAGAACTCCAGATACAAATGATAAACCAGGTTATAATTCAGTTACCTTCCTCCCATTCTTGAATTAGACATGCTCAAGTGCAAAGTAAATTATAACAGCCACAGCAACAAAAAAGTGGTTTTGTTTGGGCTAATAAATTTCCTCCTTATTTAGGCATCCCCAACAAATTTTTCATTGTCCTACTCCTCGTTCAAAAGAAATGGCTAGCCTTTTGGAAAGAAAGAAGCTTTATCCATCCCCACCAACCTACTATTACTGCTTCTTCTATGTTTTGCAATGAAAAGTTAGTGCTAGTCCTAACACAAGTATTATCCAGCTACAAATCTTGATAGTTTGTTTGTTCCATATACCGACCCAGCTTAGATTATAGGATAATCACAGTTATTAAGAAGGGCAGAGGGAAGGAATGATGAAATTGACAACTCTATCCTACTGCTATTGGAGAGAAAATAGTTCCATGGCTATTTTTTAAAAACAGTGGACCAATAATGGCCCCCATCTATCATGTCTCCACCACAAATGATATAAAAATACCGCCACATATTTTGAAGATCGCCCTGCAATAGCAATTAACTATTACTTTTTATTACAGTTTACCAAGGAGGAAAATACATCTGGGATGCAACTGGGATGGACAGTCTCTAGCATTCCTCAAAATAAAGGATGAACGTAGCAGGGAAACCATCAGTGTTTCTTTCTTTCATATATATGTGTGTGTGTGTGTGAGAGAGAATACATACATACATACATATATATATATATATATGAATATATGAATATATATATTCAGCCATATGTATATATA